AGTGATTGCGTAGAGGTTTCTTTATGTAGGTGGTGCTGTGCTAGCTCGTTACCCTCAAATGACTTCAGAAAACCATGACTATACTGTTTTACGAGGAATTCCTCTCGGAACCACGATCAAGGTTATTTCGTGAGCAGACAGCGCTTTCTTATCTCGTAAAAACTGACCTATAAAAAGTTGATTGAATAATATTCCTAACAAGCTCGAAAAGGTACTACGGTACGCAGGCGCATTCTGTTTCCCAGGAGCGGATTTCCTTGGGTCTATCCCTACATGCTCTTAAACCTTTCTAGCGAATACTAGAAGACTATTAAGTGAATTTCTACTAGGCTGTCTAAGCCCGCTTCGAGGCTTACACTACGATGCCTTATTTGTCTTTATTATTGTCTTCTGTAACGCGTTGACTCTGTGATGGAATGGCTCCCAATCTCTTACAGCCTTGGTAAACTTCGTTGCAGATAATATCGGCCACTATAATACCCATTTAATGAACTTCATCACATTTCGTTTCAACAGAATTACAACAATAAGGCAGAAAATTAAAAGTGTTAAACTCGGAAGAACTATCACAGGCGGATGGTCTAAATTTAAGGCTAGGGATATAACACCACCTCTTAGAGAACGGAGAACTATTCTGTCCAAATCACAATTACTAGATAGATAAGAGATATTTAGTACCTTGCATAACTAATACGTCCCACTGTGTCGCGTGTGCGCACGCTATCTGACTGCGTCCGACCGTACCTATGTAACTATGCCGTGTATTTGTAGTGTTCGCTTGCATCGTTAACAGCCATCGAATCGCGTGCAGTGTATTCATCTGCGGATTAAACATTCATTTCAGCGCGCCTCCAAACGATATGCAAACAGTTGTTGCTTTCCTCTATTTTCATACTTTATTGGCTATTTTTATTGTTGCGGGTTTTGTTGTTCCGTTGTTTTTTTTTTTACTGTGTTTGTCTATTTTCCTTTCCCATTTTTTTCCCTTGCGGTTCATTAATATAACTTTGTACCGCAATCAGCGCGTAATCGGCGCGAGCCGGGCAAGTCAATCCGCCGCACAGCTAAAAGCGCCATAAAAATGCAAATTCATGTTTATTAGCTGAGCTGCACTCAGTGCACATGCAATTCACACACAATGCGATCGGATCGCTTCCTCCACCAACGGGGAAGGCAGACAGCCAGCCATCCAGCCATTCACCCAACTGCGTTGATGTGCTGTGCGTGGTGGCTCGAGGCAAGTAAAACGAAAGCCAAGAGAAGGTGGAGGGAGGGCGGCAGTAAAAGACAGATGTGCGCATTTTGCTTGGTGGATGCTGCATCTAACTGCCTGGCTGACTGGCCGGCTGGCTGGCTGGCTGGCTAAGTGCTGACTTCTACTTGCCTCCTGGATAGCTAGTAGTAAGCTGACGAAGTGTTAATGAAATTCTTGAGTGCGGCGCATCAGCTGCGGCCGTCGGACGATGGTGGCGCGTTCGCTTGCGGCTTTTGACTTAAGTAGCTGCTGCATTGGCACTTAACGTTGTGCGCTAATTCACTTTCAGTTGCATCTGCATCAATAGCTCGGTCGTTTGTTGTTGCTGCAGTTGTTCTTAGCTCTTAAGTGCTTAATGTGCAATATATTGCCGTTCAATGTCAGCACTTCTAAATATACATACATATGTACATACGTGCAACAAAAATCATATGAATGCGTATAATTATGTTCATGTATAAATATTTACAGTAATTTTAAAATATGCAAACACGAATTTTTATACGACCGCTTGTTGGACTGCGCATGCGCCAGCGTCCAACATCATGGTCAAAGGCAAGGCATGACAGAGCAGCGGTTGATGAATGGTCGAGCGCATGCGTTAACGTCAAACTGCCGTCGCATTGCCGCCAAGCGGTCATTGGCGGACACACCGGAGGCGCTGCCGGTACCCAAATAGTTTAGAATAACTACCTGAGTGACTGATGTGCGCATGAGTGGCTGGCTGGCTGCGCAATAGGTGTGCACAGCATGTTGACAGTGACGTAAACTACGTGCAAGGCATAGCCAATTGCACGCGTTAATCGCGCGCTTTGCCAGTTGTTTTGCAAAATCAGTGCGAAATGACGCGCAGGGCCGCGCCGGACGCCGCCGGACGGAATAGTGGTGACGACGACAATGTCAACTGCTTTATTCATAGCAATTTTTTATTGTGTCAATTTTGCGTGATGTCGCCGAAACGGAAAGGAAATGCGCAAGCAGCGTAAGCGCATGTGCGCAAACTGTGGGGCAAAATAAACGCATATGTACACTAACCAGAATTTGTTTCCGTACAGTGTTTTTTTAATATTTGCAATGTTTTTCGTAATGAATTTTCTCGTTAATTTTTAATGGAAATATAGTTCATTTTGCATTAAATGGTGTATAAATTAATGATTCAAAGTTTTTACAAAATTTAGGAAAATTTGACAAATTTTCACCAAATTCAAATTTTTAAACAAAATGTTGTTTTTTTGAGAATTTTTTTTGCTGATTATGTTGGTCATTTTCTCCATGTAACGGACGCGTGATATTTTTTTTGTATAGGAAAAAATCAACGGTAGTTTATAGCCACTTAAAACTTGTACTTTATTATACTGAAATTGAGTGAGCTACAAAACTGCATACTCAAAAAAATTCTAAAGCATTTTGTTTAAAATTTGAAAATTTTGGTGAAAATTTGTCGAATTTTCTTAAATGTGGTAAAAACTTTGAATCATTAATTTATACGCCGTTTGATTAATGAAAAAAATTTATTACGAAAAAGATTGCAAATATTAAAAAAAAACACTGTACGGAAACATTTTTTGTTGAGTGTACATTAAGGCGAGTCAATTTGTATGGGAGATTTTTTCGACTATGCGCGTATAGCACAGATGGATTCTACGTGCAATTCTTAGTAAATTTTCCCAAGAAACCATGGGTCGAAAATCAATTTGTAGTTTGCCAAATTGCGAAAATAGATTTCTTCGCATTTTGCTGTAGTGTAGTAAAAAAGTGCTTAAATTTTGTATAAAAACATGCTATAGGGAGTTTTTTGGTATGAGGAATCCATTTCTGCCCTTATTTTTTTTCTTAAAAATCCCACTAGAAGGCGCAACAGTGAATCTCTTCACATTTTCTTCGAAACGAATTTTCGCAATTTGGCAAACTCCAAATTGATTTAGAATCATGATTTCTTCGGCAAATTTGCTTAGAATTACGCGAAGAACCCTGCCATGCTATAAGCGCATAGTCAAACAAAACTGACCCGCCATAACATACATACATATATACCTAGGTACATACATATGTAGAGTCTGCATAAATATAAAAACAAAAAAGCAAAAGCCCTCAAGCTTTGTGAATAAAAATTCATTTATTTTTTCTCTTGTTGCTGAGTTCCGCTGTCTTTATTGGATATAATGACTGCTGATAAATTTTCTCTTCCTTCCTGTCTACACATAATTTTCGACTAACAATCAAATAGAAGGATTAAGTAAATGCTTCATACGCTTGAAAGGTAATGCTAGTGAAGATGTTTATGCGATTTTGTGTGGCTTTGTTTTAAGGTTTGTTGCACTGTGTACTTATATACTTAATTGTAAAAATTTAAACGCACTTTTTCACAAAAACTGTATTTATATAATTTGTTACGTATTTGCACATATTTGTTGGAAATTTTTTTTTTTTAACGACCATACCTGTAGATGAGGTTAAAATCAAATTTTAGCTTAACCTTTAACTGGACAAGAGGTCCTACGGTCGTTTTTATTTCATCTCGAAGAAGAGTGCTATGTTCGTTAGGTATCAGTTTTAGACGTTGTGAGACCCTATGCCCAGGCTAGAGTTACGAAGAAAATCATGTCCATACATAAAGGTTAAAAACAAATTATAATTTCTGTCGCTAGCATAAGTTTTAGTTAGAATAAACAAATAAACACACTCATCTAAATGAAATTAAAGCTATTTTTCAATTTTAAAAGGACATTTGTGTACCAAAATGCCCTTTATAAAGTGAAACTTATTTAAAGTGAACTTTAGGTAAACTTTAAGATATAATGGCATTCATCTTAAAACATGATTTTAGTTGCTAAAAGCCTGTATTTAATTAGTCTACAACGACAAGTTCATTACGATAATTCAAAGACGAGAAAACAAATTCTAAAGATGAAAATAATTTTTCTAAGTAATTTATGTGGAAAATAGAAATCCGCAATGCGCAACCTTTTAAACTTAATATTAGTGGTTGCGCTTTTAACAGGCATCTTTAGACATCCCCCGGAGGTATTGAAGAGGGGGTTTAAAAAAGAAAATTAGTCATTTTTTTTTTTGAACCAGTCTAATGTATGTATATAAAAGAGCAATATAAAAGGTTGTCTTAGATGGTATGTTTGATTTACATAAAAATCTTTGAAACGTTTTTTTTTTTAAAGCGACGACCGACACCTCCACAACTTTCTGAGTTAATTAAAGCAATTAAATTTTTATTTATGAGACACACTTTTTTTATGGGGGCCAGCATGGGCGACTTATCTCATTTTTGATCAAGTCGACTCTTGATGCTTAACCCCACAGTAAACACGGTGAGAATTAATATATATGTAGCATATAAAAACCTTTAATAAGAACATACATTTTTGGGTCGCTTCCTATTTTTATTTATTTATTTTTTTGCTGCTTTTAATGTGAGAATTGTTTGAAAAAAATATAATTCAAATTTTATAAGTATTTATGTAAATATATATGTACGAACATAGTGAATTTGAAATTCATGTTACCATTTATCTGTAGCACGTAGTTCGCAATCAATGTTCACCATCAACGCTTCAAATCAACAGTTACAGAGATTAGCCAGCAAAGTTTTTTGCCCCCCTTTTTTCTAACTACAAACTTTCAATCACATAAATTAAGACTTAATTGCGCTTACGCTTTCAATGTACACCAAAGTGTGTAATTAAGAAGAAATGTTAAATTTTATCTCTAATCACATTTGCATATCTTACAGGAAATCATCGCAACACCTATGGCGACGTTATCGAACGAAAATCCTATCAATGGCTCGGCGCTACAGTGTCCACCAGTCGTGACAACGATTTGATTGTGGTGAGTAAAATTAAAACAAAAAAACAAAAAAAACGGCAAAATAGTTTTAATGAAAATTTATATGCAAAAAGAGTATTTAAATTGTATAAATTGCAAAATGCGAAAGTGACTTCATTAAAGACGAATTAAAGCAAAAGCGACGTTGCACAAATGAGACTCGCACTGACAGTTTCTTCGAAAGCTGCGCGGAAAACCTCGTACGCCAGCGAAAATTGGGTTTACGACATTGACAAATAAAGACGATATTTAACGATGCCAGTTACTTTATTTTATGTACATACATACTTGCACTTTCGTTTCCAATGGCGGCAGCGCGACTACTAAAAATGGTTGGGCGGTAAAAAGCGGCGGCATTGCTTAACACGGCAAGCAGCGTAAGCGATTTGTGGCGTACAAAAGCGCTGACAGTTTTAGTAGATTGCTAAAGATTAGTCATGCCAATGGACTTGCAACTAACATACATAGGTACACATTAGGCTGGTCCAAAACTTTTTTTTTCAGTCACACCTCCAGAACTGATGAATATCAAAAATAAGAGGGTCGGCATTTTTTTTATTTTGTATGGAATCGTGTCGCCGTGCTTCGAATCGCTATAGAATCGTTAAAAAGAAATATTTTTTTAATCGAATAAGAATATTTCTCTTCAGAGATTTAAAAAAAAAAAAATAAAACAATGACGCATTTTTAACTTTAAAATTTTACTAAATATTTTTTTCAAAATTTTTTTTTATTATGGGTTCGTAACCCCAACAAGTATGTTTTGAAGAAATACAATTTTTGAATGGAAATATTTTTATTCGATCAAAAAATATTTATTTTTAAAGATTTTAGAGGAGTTATGCGAAAAAATTTATTTTCTCCTAATAAAATACACGGTCAAATATTAGCCGGCGATACGGTTAAATTTTAACCGATTTTAAAATAAAAAATACGGATCTACTTATTTTCGATTTTCTACAATTCTGTGGGGTTGCAGCAAGAAAATTCCGTGAAGCTTACTTTCTTGTGTATTTTTGGACCACCCTAGTACACATTCAAGTATACATAACCTTATATCCATGTTGCGTCCATATGTATGTATAATTTGTGTACGTCTGTGACCGCCGACTGACAGACAGCCGGCCCAATATGAAACTGCTGAACTAGTTTCGATAATTTGTGGTCGCTGTGTGACGTGAGTGTTAATGTGTAGACACATATACATCCATACAGATCTACGTTTGCTTGCTGTAAACGTAGATGTTGGCCATTATCATCGCTGTCGATAAACCAACAACCGTAGCAATTGGCGACAGCTTAAACGAAAAATATTGAACTGAAACATGAAAATCACGTCAAGACCAAAGAAGTTGGCCATTGAACGGGAACAAGTGGGCGCCGCAACATAAAGCCAGTCAACCTGTAGCAAGTGGGTGGGCGAATAACAAACACAAATATACGTACATATGAACATATTTATGTGTGTATGCACACACATACTTACATATATGCGGTTATGTGTCTAATGCGAGCGCTAGTTGATCGCGAAAGCCACTCGGCGCGGGCGGGCCAATACGATATGCATTTATTTTCTACACAACTTAAGATTTCTTTTTATGTTTGTTTACTTGTAGTATTAGTAAAAACACTGTATGCGGGAGAATGTTAGAATGAAAAGTGAATTTTCGAAGCCATGACTCCAATTTGAGCTGCTAGGGAATTTGGTAAAGGGGAGAATTTTTAAATATTTTAAGTAAACAAGACTTGAAAGTATGATAATAAAATCAAATTAGCATAGCAATATATGTATGTATAATAAAAATTTCCACTCCCCCTCTCCACCATCTTCCATTTATAATTCCGCTGTGACGTTAAGGCGTATAGTCGTTATGCTGGGTATGCAAGTATAGTTGCACGGCTATACTCAATTCTGACTCTTGCGTCCTCGTTCGCGCACTCTAGGCAACGTGAGCAACCCATGTGCGAGCTGCGGTAACCAATCCGGTGGTCGCGGCAGAAAAAAAGGGTGCTTCAGTGGGGCCACTCCGACTTATTTGATTTAAGGGCTCACTGAAGTCTTCAGCGTCTGTTCACCAGTAGGTGCCGCTGCAAGCGGGTGTCTGTCTTGGAGCAAGCGGCTCGCTATTTAAACGTGTATTCGGTTGCTAAACCAAAAGAGGGGCCACCAACAAGAACACCTACATGCACTCTGGCACAAGGGCGACGCTTCTCACTTTACAAGCACACGTGGCCACCTTCTGCTCATCACATCCCGAAACCGAGTTTACATCATTTGGGTTTAAAGGACATAAAGGAATCTTGGAAAACAAAGTGGTAGATATCCTCACCAGGAAAGGGGCTTCATAGAGATTCATAGGCCCAGGAATATTCATCGGTCTGCCGTGGAGTTCCGTTAGGCGAAATTAATATATCTAGCTTGAGATATGTTTATTTTTCCAAACCTACTGGTCTGGGATTTAAATCCGAAACTACCTCAATGGTCATCGGACAGACTATCAAACGATGTATGGCTTAGAGGTCAGACTACGTGGCCGTTCTAAAAGTCTTAAACAAGGCCATACGTCATGGTTGGGTTTAGATAGGAGTTCCAACTTAGCCTCTTACCAATGACAATTTCAAGATATTTAACTCCGTCAGAGTATTAACTCGCTCTCCCTCAAAGACTTGGAGGAGCGCATCTCATAACGTCTGACAACAGACTAAGGTAAGGAAGAAAGAACACCTGCCTATAAGCATCCTCTTAAAAATCAATGCTAAGTTTTTTTTACCGAGTTTCTACACCAATTTGTGGTGTGCGTCGTTATGCCGTTACACAAATGGAGCGATCTACAATTTTACCCCGCCTCCGAATGTCAATTAGTTTTTGGGAGAAGCTTTTTCAAGACAAAAATACTCTCGGAGGTTTGCATTGTTTGCCGCTGTAAGAAAACAACTTTTACTGATTCAGATGCTTCTCGGACCGGGGACCAGTACGGATCTCTAACTACTCAGCCTCAGAGGACCACCGTATGGCCCTAATATTAACGATAGTGTTGCCCAGGGACGATGTAATATCGCGCTCAAGAGCTGAGATGTCTATGCCTCTTTGGATCAATATCTGAAAGATAAAATCATAGACAGTATTATCAAAAGCCCCCTGCGATACCTAAGAAAGCCCACAGAGCAACTCCCATAGACTCGAGGTTCGTTTCGACCTTGCAAACCCTTTTCTATATGGCGGTATGGTCCAACGGAGTTTTAAATTTCAATTTGTCCCTAACAGTTTTTGGAAGGTCTTACATAAGAATGAAATAAGTTAAATTAACAAATCTGAATGGTTTAGGCGGATCAGTGGACCAGTTGCCTTATTTAGTAACATATATGACGGATACCTGCTTTTAATTGAACGGTATATATTCCCAAGTATAATAAGCCTTAAATAGATAGATAAGCGCATCGACGATATCATCAATGCTTCTCTGAAAAAAAATGCAGGAAAGATACTACCATCATCTGCGGCTTTCAGCGGTTTAAAGGACTCTAGAGTCCTCCATTCATTGTTCCTTTCCAAGATGGAGCCAGATCTGCTATGACTTCTTACTCTGTGGAACCCATGTTCCAGGGAGGCAGGTGTCAACCGATCTTGCTACGTTGACTGTTACAAACAACCGTTATAATACATCAAATGTACAAGTGAGCAGGGGTATTTTATAATTTATGTAAAGTCTCAGCATTTCGTTAAGTCTATTCCTACTATCATTCCATGGAATATGCCATTTTTAAAGACTTCGTTCTAAAAAAACTCTTTTGGGGCACGTCAACCACTAAATACCGCAAACATCCATTGCTCAATCAGCAACGTTCACCTACCACATTGGCTACATAAGCCAACATTGCAAGCGTGTCGATATTCGATTTCAGCTTTTCAATAAAGTTTCATGCGTTTGCATTTCAAATTATTTAGTTTTCCACTTATCATACATATGTATGTATACTAAGGTGGTGCAAAAATACATGCGGGCGAAAAAAGTTTAAAATTTTTAGCTTTCACTGCCTAGGATTTTTCTAAATGGAAAAAAAGAAATCCCGTATTTTTTGTTTAACAAAACTTTATATAGAACTGAATCAAAGCCCATGAAGTTTCCCCCAAAGAGAGCAATAGTTAGTATTAAAAAAATTGTAAAATCAAAAATTGAGTGTTATTATTGGAAGTCTCCTGATGAAAAGCAGAGATTTCCGGTCGAAAAATATTGATTTTCAAGAAACAGTTCTAAATACAGTTCTAAATACATTTTTTTTTCAACAAAAGAAACGGGTATTCTTTTTTTCCATTTAGAAAAATCTTAAGGAGTAAGAGCTTAACATAAACATTTTTTTTGAAGCACCCTAATGTGCACACATGCTACATACATATAGAGATATGTATATATTTCTTACGATTTTCATTGGTTTTCTTTAGCTTAACTTCATTTGCTGGTTTTATGTAGCGCTTTTGTTAGCCTCGCCGTAATCTTAATGCCCGCCTTGGTTGGAAAAGCCACAAATTAAGGCACACAATTGACGTTTAGTAGATGCCTCGCGTCAGATTAAGGTGTGCCAATTGCCGCATTGATTTCTTGATTTCTTAACTTCACACACATTCTAATTTTTCTTTTTTTTTTGTTGACTTTCAACTACTCACAACCTGTGCAGCATTAAAGCTTAAACGCTTTTTAATTGTAACCGCACACAGTCATCGTTGGCGATGGGGGTTATTTATGTGCGAGTCAAAAAATTTATTGGCGCCGCAGAGTGAATTGACCTGTTTCGAATGGGGCGCAATTGGAATGTATGTGTGTAGGTGTTAGTTTGTTTGTGTGTGTGTGAGTGTATTAAATTTTCTAGTTTTATTCATTCGCTTTGTAATTACCAATTAACTTTTTTTGTGGCATTTTTATCGGATATCCCCCCCTTGTGCGCTCCTTCACGAGCGTTGAGCGCCAAGAACTTGCGCGCGTGTTCATGTTTCCCACTAACGCTAT